CTTGTTAGATACAACACCAAAGACATGATTCACGAAAGAAAGAATTAGTAAGCTGTACTTCATTAAAATTAAAAACATTGCTGTGTGAAAGGCAATTTCAAGAGAATGAGAAGCCAAGCCACAGACTGGGAGAAAATATTTGCAAAAGACACATCTGATAAAGGACTGTTACCCAAAATATACAAAAAAACTTCTTAAAACTCAACAAGAAAAACACAAACAACCCAATTTTAAAAATGAGTCAAAGACCTCATCAGACACCTCTCCAAAGAGGATGTACAGATGGCCAATAGGGATATAAAAAGATGCCCCCTGGCCAGGTGTGGTGGCTCACACCTGTAATCCCAACACTTTGGGAGACCAAGGTGGGTGGATCACCTGAGGTCAGGAGTTCAAGAGCAGCCTGGCCAAATGGAAAAACGCTGTCTCTACTAAAAATACAAAAATTAGCTGGTTGTGGTGGTGCATGCCTATAATCCCAGCTACTTGAGAGTCTGAATCAGGAGAATTGCTTGGACCCAGGAGGCAGAAGTTGCAGTGAGCCAGTGTCACACCACTGCACTCCAGCCTGGGTGGTGGAGAGAGACTCTGTCTTGAGAAAAAAAAAAAAAATGCTCCATGTCCTATATCATCAGGGAAATGCAAACAAAAACAATAATGAAATACCACTTCACACCTATCACACTGGCCAAATCTGGAACACTGATAGCACCAAATGCTGGTGAGGATGTGGAACAACTCTCATTCATTGCAGTTGGAAATGCAAAATGGTGCAGCCACTTTGGAAGACAGTTTGGCAGTTTCTTACAAAAGTGTACATACTCTTACCGTTCAATGCATCAGTCATGCTTCTCGGTATTTACCCAAAAGCATTGAAAACGTATGCCGACATAAAAACCTGCGCATGATGTTTATAGCATCTTTATTAGTAATTGCCAAAACTTGGAAGCAACCAAGATGTCCTTAAGTAAGTGGATAATAAACTGTGGTACCTACAGACAATAAAATATTATTCATCACTAGAAACTATCAAGCCATGGAAAGACATGGAGGAAATTTACATGCATATTACTGAGTAAAAGAATCCAATCTGAACAGGCTACATGCTATGTGATTCTACCTATGTGACATTCTGGAAAAGGCAAAACTATGGAGACTGTAAAAAGATGTGGTTGGCAGGGGATATGAATAGGTGGAACACAGAGGACTTTGGGGACAGTAAAAATACTCTGTATATACTGTAATGATGTCATTATACATTTGTACAAACTCACAGAATATACAACTGAGCCCTAATGTAAAGTATGGATTTTTTAGTGGTAATGATGCATCAGTGTGATTTCATTAATTCTAAAAAATGTATCACTCTGGTGAGGGATGTTGATAATGGGGAGGCTCTGCATGTGTAGGGGCAGGGTGTATGTGCAAAGTTTCTGTAGCTTCTGCTCAGTTTTGTTGTAATCTAAAACTCAAAATTATATAAAGCCAAATAAAACTAATGTACTAAGCCATGAATCAAGTTGGTAGAATAACCCCAAATAGAGGAACCATTCCAAGTGTTTTAAAAACATAGTAATTTGGTGGCATATTTCAAGGGGCTGCATTCTAAGGATAAAAAGAACTACAAAGAAAAACATTGTAATCTGTTTTAAGTAATTATATAGTTGGTGGTAATGTTAGTATTTGGTTACTGTTGAGTATGTATTGCAGGAAAAAGCAAATGAATATATCGTTGTTATTGAATGTTGGGATGTTTGGCATGAAAGAAAGTAAATTCAGCTGTAAGTTGATTAGGTTAAGTAAAAAAACTGTAGCCCTAGATTTAGTTAAAGGTATTAATTTAAGCCATATGGAATCGCTGTTTCTCTAGCCAAAAATCTTGAATCCTAGCAACTGAATAGGGTTCGACATAATGTCAGCATGACCCATTAATGTATTTTGTCTCTTAAAAAATCGTGTATTTCCTGGTCTGTCCATTGAAATGTTCTAGAAACAAGAGCCAATCCCACAACAATTTGCATGCTTCTTGGTTCTTGGAGCCAGATCTGAGTGACCAATGTTTCCTGGTGTGCCTAGCCTTCCCAGTTTCAGCACCCAAATTTCACATCCCAGGAAACTCCTCAGTTTCAGGAAAACCAGGATGATTGGCCACCTTAACCCAGATTATGGTATCTAATTACCATTTCCCATGAAAATGAACCAGGGCCTTTGGAACAGTTGGCTGATTCCATATCTGGGGCATGGAATGCATTAAAATGAGCCTTGAATATCTTATTTTACTGCATAACAAGAAATCTATCAAAAAGACTTACTATGATGTTACAGCAGGACTCATGAGCTACTCTGAAGAGGTTCCCACCAGCCAAAAATGAGGCAATTGGAAATTCAATAAGAATAACTACTTCAGTAGATTGAAACACATCATTTGTGCTCAGTTCATGAGTTCATAATAGTACTAAAAACAAATTTAAAAACTCATTGGTCATGTCTAGAGAATGCTTGGGAGCCAACTCATTATCTTGAAAATGGTAAAGAAAGAGAATCAGACACTGCTTTTCCTATACAAACGGAACCTCAGAGTAACCACATTGTTGATGACAGGCAATTTATCTTTACGTGAAGATTGTAGTTAGTAAAGAAGGAATGATAGATTAAACCACTTTGCAAACCGTTGATGAAATTATGGCTCTAGACAATCATCTTCAATGGCATTGACATCGTGGAAAGAAAATCAACCAGGCACTGTATGCCACCTGAGGGAAGTATACAACACTACTTAGTGAGTATTATTGCCAAAGAAAATCTGAATTCTCCCACTAAAGAAGGGAAAATGGTGTTCGGGGGTACCTAGCATTTTCTGGCCAGGGTCTTCTCAAATCTGGCCAGTAGGTGACTGCCTATTTGTTCTAACACACCTGTGTTCCTAATAAAAGGAAAGTGTGTGATCGTATTCTTACTCTCATTTATTCATTCATTTTCTCTTTCTCCTCCTGTCCCTTCCTTTCCCATATCCATGTCATATTGCTCTTAGTGTACTGTGTACTCTGATTTTGGATTTTCAATAGCTGGATAGAGTTTACCTTGTGAACATACCACAGTTTTTTGTTGAAGACACTCAGGTTGTTTTTGCCTTATAGTGTATTAAGTAAGGCTGCAGTAAATATCTTTGTGCCTTTTTGCCGGGAGAAGAAGGATGCATCATTGATAGTTTCCCCAGGATAACATCTTAGAAATGGAATTGCAGAGTCACAAGATATTAATAGAAATACCAATGACAACTACTCAATAGGTTAATGACAGTATGTAACAGCTGTTCTTAAGTACAGCTACCCCATGAGATAAGTATATTTATTAGTCCCATATATAATTATCCTATGTGTATAAATATACTTATCTCATAGGATAGCTGCACTTAAGAACAGTGCATGAGAAAATGGAGGCACTAAGAGGTTGAGGCACTTGCCCAACATTGTAATGACTTAGTGAGACCATAGGCACATGACTTAGTACAAGGCCTAGATGCTTCATGATAATTTTTTTTTTTTTTTTTTTTTTGGAACAGAGTCTCACTCTGTCACCAGGCACCAGGCTGGAGTGCAGTGGCATGATCTTAGCTCACTGCAACCTTCCCCTCCCAGGTTCAAGCAATTCTCCTGCCTCAGCCTCCCAAGTAGCTGGGACTACAGGCAGGCGACCCAGCTCAATTTTTGTATTTTTAGTAGAGACAGGGTTTCACCATGTTGGCCAAAATGGTCTTGATCTCTTGACCTCGTGATCCACCCGCCTCGGCCTCCCAAAGTGCTGGGATTACAGGTGTGAGCCACCGCACCAGGCCGATAAATATTTTTAAGGCTTGTTGTATACTGCCAGAATCGCCCTACCAAACATGATGCCAAGGTCTGCTTCCACTGGCAGTACAAGACGGTTAGAAACAAATCTTCTAGTGGAATATTTGCTTCTTTTATTTAAAAAGGCTGGTCACGGTGGCTCACACCTGTAATTTCAGCACTTTGGAAGCCGAGACAGGTGGATCACCTGAGGTCCAGAGTTCCAGACAAGCCTGGCCAACATGGTGAAACCCCATCTCTACTAAAAATACAAAAATTAGCCAGGCATGGTGGCAGGTGCCTGTAATCCCAGCTACTCAGGAGGCTGAGGCAGGGGAATTGCTTGAACCTGGGAGGCAAAAGTTGCGGTGAGCCAAGATCATGCCACTGCGCTCCAGCCTCAGCGACAGAAAGAGACTCTGTCTCAAAAAAAAAAAAAAGTAAAATAAAATAATAATAAATAACACTGGAATGTACTACGCTTCTGCATATAAGTTCATTTAGAAATAGCCAAATCGTGTTATTCATAGTAGTTCTACAGAGTCAAGTTGAACACTGAAATAGCAAGTACTGAACTAATGTTCCTGGGGAGAAAAATACAGAGGTGGGTTCCTGTGAGCCTCTAGTCATAACATTTTTGTTCATGATCTGTTTTACGTATACTTCTGTTTAGATAAACCTTAAAATATAGTGTTGATTTATTAACATTGAACTCATAGCCAGCAGCACTATAACTCATGCCTAAGTGAAGCTTATCTAATACAACCATTTTCTCTGTAAGTTCCTAAGTGCAGCCTTGCACTGAGGAACTCCTGTCAGTACTTCTACGCTATACTTTGAGACCATTTAAAATAGTAAAATCACCAACAAAAAAGCATAAAAATGCAAAATTATTCCACTAAATAGACTGCAAATAGGACAGTTGTTAACAGTGTAAGAGCTGAAACAAGAAGGAAGAACTTCACCTTTTCCCACCTCTGCTAGGAATCTGCTTATTGGGTGACTCAAAGTTTTCATCACTGTTCTTATGTCTGAGAATGACTACTGTGGATATGATTTGTAGATTACAAATAAATTTCAGCAAATAAGCAAATTGTAAGGTGGAATCTGCAGATAAGGAGGATCTATTTTGGTTAGTTCAACTAGTTGAGTTTCTTTCTTTTTTTTTTACAGGTCATCCAAGGAACAGATATATACTTATAGCAGCACTAGCAGGAGTAATTATAGTTATAATATGTATTGTGCTATATGTGTTCGGTATGTATGCTTTTTAAAACAAAATCGTTTTTAAACTTGTGTTTGTTTTCCAAAGGCCAGAGAATAGTTTAAGGATGACAACAAAGTTTGAAATTTTAGACATTTGAAAAGAAACAAAACTTTTTTGCTTTATTTGTGTGAGATTGCTGAGTAGGCTAGGTTCCTCCAAAGATTCTGCATTATCTTAAGACAGAATGACTCCTCGGGCCACAGAGAGCTTTACAAGGCCTGGGAACACATCCTGGACCTGTTGCATAGCCTCCTTTTATCTGTAATATGCTTAAAAATATAGTTAAACTTCTGGTCTCCAAGTCAGAGTTTGCTAAAGACCTCTTTAGGCTGCCACCTTTATAATTTTCATGTCATATATCATGGATGGGGCTCCCAGGTAGGAAGGGAGTTTTGATTGAGTCAAGGGATTATGTAATACAAGTAATTATGCTTGTATTACTTCCTGAGCCTTTCTCAGTCCCCCGGCAATCTTGGGCCAGTCATAGAGCTTGGAGAATTGATCTATTCCCAGCTTGTTCATTTCTGGTGATGAGTAATCCCTCTTAAATCCCAAAGGACAGGGACCAGGCTGTAAATCTGAAGAGCAGATATTCTTCATGCCACAGCAGTTTCCATACCAGCCTTCACCAAAAGGAAATATGCCAGGCTAACTTGTCAGTCCCACAGGGAATGCCAAAGAGTAAACTTTCTACAAGTGATAGCATCTAGGATCCATTGTGTCTTGAATCAGGTTTGTAAACTAGATTTCAGTTTCCCTAGACCTGCACTGTTTAGTATAGTAGCCAGTTAGCCACATATGATTATTTAAATATAATTTTTTTTTTTTTTTTTTTGAGATGGAGTTTCGCTCTTATTACCCAGGCTGGAATGCAATGGTGTGATCTTGGCTCACCACAAACTCCGCCTCCTGGGTTCAGGCAATTCTCCTGCCTCAGCCTCCTGAGTAGCTGTAAATATAAAATTTTAAGATGAAATAACACTAAATTTAAGATTCATTCCTCAGTTGTACTAACCACATTTCAGGTGCTCAGTACCTACATCTGGCCAGTGGCTGCCATACTGGATAGCCCAGATAAGGAATAATCTTATCACTGTAGAAAATTTTCTTGGTCAGTGCAGACCTAGACTATTTTGGGATATTGGTGCTAAATATAATTTCCTGAGGTTAACATTTTCATGTTATAAGTTGTAAATACCGTGAAAATCCATCCCTAAATAATAGATTATCAGTCAGTTGACTCTCCACTAAACAATAGTATATCAGCTGAAGAAAGTTTTCAGTTACTACCAATGCATAAAACAGTTTGGGAGCTCAAATTTAAAAAAAAATGCATTTTAATCCCTAAATAGCAGTATTATAGTTAGTCATCTCCTGAACAGGTTGGTTCTCAGAAACCAAAATCATTTTTCACTCAGCATTGCTGTAGATCTCAATTAAAGAACTAACCCAGCATGCCTGAACTAAAGAGAAGTGGCACTGAGTTTACATAGAACCTCAAAACAATTGGTTGATTTAACTTA